AGGTAAAACCTGGCTAGAAAGAATATGCACATAAAAGCCTACAAAAAAGAAAAAGACATATATATATATATATCCAAAATTATTGCAAGGTCTGGACAAGATGCTGCAATATTGTAGTAGGGTATATTTTACAAACGTAGGGTGGAGATAGGAAGTAACAGAGATTAGTTTTCTAGTTGACATGTAATAAATAAAATATTCTTTGAGGAAATAGTTTCTGGCAGGTTATATGATATAGGCAAACTTCTTATGCATTTGAGGGTGAAACCATTTTGTGAAGGGACTGTAAGCTTTTCTGGAACCTTTTGGTCAAAGAGCAAGGTAAAAAAAATCAACATGAAAAATAGGAAATTCTTACCCAAAAACAACTAAAATTGATAAAAGAAACTTTTTACATCCCAGACCTTCAGTCTCTGTTGGCAAAGATGGGAGCAAACCATATAAGGTAACTTTTGCCAGAATACCATTCTGTTTACTGAGGGCCAAGTAAAAATATTGGAAAATATATTAGAACATTAAAAGCATAATAAAAATATTAAGATTCTTATCCAGTTAAACAAAAAAACCCTGTCTAATAAAAATTATAATAAAAAAAAACCAGTTGGATTTTGCAGTTATATTCCTGTATAATCTATTACTTGCTTGATAAAAACAGTATAAATCTCTGGTAGTTGCAGTTGTTTAAACTTGAGCACAATCCTAGTACAGGGTCAACCCACAACTGCAAATCAAATGTGATTGTGGCTTGAGGTAGCCCTTTCAGGCACTGTGGTCTGGTTAACATTGCTGGATTTTGCACATTTCTTGCTTTCTTTTTTCTCTGTTTGCAGCTATATTGGTATTGATTTTATTAGTCACTAACACGTATGCTAGAAATAATCAAATGTCCACACTGAGAGATCATGAATTGAGTTCCCCTCTTTTCTCCAAAACCATGATATCTATGCTTATATTTTATTTTTCTAATTCATATTGTGTGTGTGTGTGTGTTTACTAGGCTTAAGCGCTGCTTCAATTATATCTGACTAGGCAGCTGACAGATCTACTAAACAGTAATAAGTTTAAAAAGTAAACATTAACAACATGAAGATAAAAGCATAATAAATAACATCCCCAAAGCTAAGGAATAGCCATTATACAGTAAGTCCAGAGGTGGGTTCTACTTACGTTTACTACCAGTTCACAACGGGATCACGCAGATCACTGACGACGACATCTGGGGCAGTGGGCGGGGCCTCCCACTGGTTTTACTACTGGTTCTTGCAAACCGGTCCGAACTGGGGGCAGTCCACCACTGAATAAGTCTACAGGAATGGTACTCAGGGAACCCATCCCATGTACAACAGAGGGGCTTTTGTATCAACAAAACAAACTTTCAGTATTGAGACTGTTAACACATCGAAGGCATTATTATTAGTTAGGCTTCCTTCTGATTAGCAGTGATTCTGAGTTTATGTTGTTATGTGGCTTTTCTTTAGAAGATCTAATAATTAACAGATTTCCATTTTATTCTTATTATTGGCAGCATCTGATTTGTATGAATTAGATACAAATTTATTTGTATGAATTAGGTGCTGAAACAATTGTTCAGATATATAGGGATCCTGCTTACTAATTTATTTCATCATTATAATGCTATAATTTTTACGCCCTGCTGAGAGCATTCATTTGCCTGAAAAGCAAAATAAAAGTCCTATATATAAATAATCAAAACATTGTATGAGAAACTGACTTACCTGGGTGCAGATTAATATTTCGACTGAATGTTAAAAATACATCCATACTGTTTGCCAATAGACAAAGTGTTAATGTTGATAATAGCAGGATCGTAAGAGGAGAATGTTAAAATGTTTCTCATGTACTTCTCAGATTTATTCAAATTCTTTAAAAGAACAGGGGCTTGAAGAATTATGGGCAACTCAGACTTCAGGCCCATAGATATATGACATTGGTTGATACCTTAGCTGTAGAATGGAATGCCTTATGAGTCCAATGGAAAATAAAAATACTCAGCTTGGATTTTTAGTAATTTCTTGCTTTATTTATTTAGTCCTTTCAGGTCGGTGATGACTATGGTCACTGCAGTTCTCTTGACAAGATTTTCACAAATAGTTTGCCATTGCCTTCTTCGTATAGTTAAGAAAGAGTTATGCAGATGGGCTCAAGGTCCTTTAGATGGTTTTGGGCCTAAAGTAGGAATAGAATTTACAGACAAAATTCATTGCCTTCCAGCTTCTAGCCTGCTAACTTAACCACTCCACCAAACCGGCTCTCTAATTGATTTTATTATTATAGATTTTCTCTGGGTCAGGTTAACACTGGTGTTCCTGATTCTTTTCCTCATGCCATTCTCAACATGACTTTAAATATAAATAAAGTGATTTCATCTTCTGCAGTGCAGATTTGGATCATAGGCACAAATTATTTTAGCTTCTTTTCAGTTCAGGCAGGAAAAAAGAAATTGCACGTTGCTTATCTAAGGAGATTGAAGGAGTTCAAATACCATTCTGTTAATTGGCAATATTGCTTTTTAAGTAAGTGCACATAGCTTGTATGAGAAGACAAGCTAGTATATGAAGAAATATGGGCTTCAAAATCTTAGCTTAGTGCACCCTAACAGGAAAAAAAATCCTGTGGTTCTGTTTTCCCAATCCCAAACAACATTAATATATAATTTAAGATTGAACTACAGAGATTTATACAAACATCAAGCTATTTTTCCACCTGCTTTTTTGAAAAAAGAAAAGAAAGCTTTTATTAAAGCTTTTGCTATCTGTGATATTTCTTCATCCAAGAATGATGAAAGCCATTTCATTTCTCAGTATAAACAATGGCAAATTCAAATGGAGATTCAGCTGCATTTTAAGTCAATCTGTGGAATGATCCTCAACCACACTCACTGGAGGGAAGGCAGCATAGGTTAATACCATTAATATAGCTTTTCTAAATTTAGTACCTTCAAGTTGTGTTCAGCATCAGCTTTTGTAACTCCAAGACAGTAGTGCTGTAGAATACTTTCAGAAGAAATTGTTTCAAGGGAAATTTTTCCTGAACAACTTTAAGGAATTTGAGGGAAAGGAACATGCAGAAAGAAAAGTAGCCAACTTTTATTTTGGCCCTGGATTCCTTTGTATCATAAAATGTTAGAGAGTTCTAGTCCCACCTTAGCTATTATTATGAAAACCCCCTGGGTGACCTCGGTCAGTCACTCTCAACCTAACCCACCTCACAGGGCTGTTGTTATAGGGAAAATAGGAGGTGTGTTGGATATAATAATAATAATAATAATAATAATAATAATAATAATAATAATAATTTTATTTCTATACCGCCCTTCTCCCGAAGGACTCAGGGCGGTGTACAGCCAATTTAAAAACACAAGACACAACAATGATTAAAAATTAAAATAATTAAATAGATTTGGCCGATTTAAAATCCCAAAAATTTAAAATACCCCAATTTAAAATTATTATGTTGATAGCCCAGCCTGGCGGAACAACAGGGTCTTCAATGCGCAACGAAACACCCGGAGATCGGAGATCTTACGTATTTCCGGGGGCAGTTCATTCCACAGGGCTGGGGGTCCCACAGAAAAGGCCCTCCCCCTGGGTGTCGCCAGCCGACATAACTTGGCTGATGGCACCCTGAGGAGACCCTCTCTGTGGGAGCTGTGACAGCTATGTTCGCTGTCTTGAATTATTTCTAAAACAACAAAGGCAGGACATAAATACATAAATTCAAGTTGCTAGAACTTGAATTACAGGAATTATTTTTCCCCAGCCCCTTTCTAGAGTGCTTTGTCTTGTTATAATAGAAGCCTATAATTCCAATAGATTAATAATCATGCTTTTCATGTACAAATAAAATTCTCTCCTCCCAAAGTATAACAGTCTAAATATATATACTTTTCATTCAAGAACAGGACAAATAATAAAAACAAGGCTGAAAAGAAGTGAAATCACATCTATAGCTAGATTAAATATTGGAGTTTTCGGTACAAAGATGAGTACTGTTATTTAAATGGAATACTGGGGCTGTAGTATTGTTAAATGTGATTTTTCTTTATCTGAAAGTTTTCTCCGTCTTAAATATAATGCATTTCTGAATATTGATTATGAGAATAGATGTTCTTTAAGGTATTGTACCTGCCTCTTCTAATATGCTATAAAATTACCACACTATTTATAGCAAGAGGCACTTCACAGAATGGTGACGGTAAATCTGAAAATCTCGGAAGGAGGTAAAATCTTCTAGCTGACTTTTTTTTTTAATGCTGGGAGAAAATTATTTGAATTGCCCAGCACTTAGGGAAGAACAAGCAGACAGGAAATTCTATAAAGTAAGGCAGGAATAAAAGAAAACCAGACTATGAAAGCTGTAAAAAATGTTAGAACATGGAGCGAGAAAGAAAAGAGGTGAATATTAACAGGAACAATAAAAGTTTGGAAGGTTCAAAGTTTACATGTTGATTTCAAATAATTATTTGACCGCAAATCATTATTTATGTCGGATTTTTCAAAACTGCTGTTTGAGGTTTCTTATCAAAATGTCTAAATAGCTGGTATTTGCTGAGGATTTCTTTCTTCCCCATCTTTCCATGTATAGTAGGAATCCCTTCCCTTCCCTATACCAGCTTTCAATAAATTACTGCATTACATTGTTCAATTTTTAAATCTTCAACCAAAATAGATAGGTGAAACATAACTGATGGTAGCTCTTTAAAAGATTAGAAAAATGAATAATTGTTAATTTTCCTCTGAATCAAATGCTGCTCAAAATAACAGCCCCATAACTAAGGATCAAAGAGCAAGCTAAAAGGAAAACAACCCACACTTATACCTTTTTATGTGTTTTTTTTTTGCCTCTTCTCTTTGACAGTGTATGTACCTCCATCATTATTATGTGTTTTGCTCTTTTTCTTTCTCTTTTTTTTTGTTATTAATTGAAAAATGATTTTTTTTAAAAAATAATCCACTGACTGGGAAAGTGTTCTGTTTCAGCTGCTGTTAAGGATGGGATTCCCTGAATTCATTTTGCCTCTGGAAGAAAGAAAGATTTTGTAGTTCAGGGTTGCTGCATATTCCACCCTAAGAATTTACATGAAATTCTGTGGCACAGTTTCAGAAATCAAAAAGGTAGGACATACTTTTTTTCCTCTAAATGTTTCATTTTTGTCTTGGCAATTGTTCCAAACTTCCCCATTCTCATATCCACATAAGCCTTTTAGCACTTGTTCGATTTCTTGCTCTCTTTCCCCACTAGAACAGTTGATACCTTGACCTGGTTTAAATCTCAAATTGCCTTTCAGCTAATTGGTACTTCCCACTGTTATGGTTCCAAGCCCTTTCCCCCCACATCCTCATCACAGATTCAGGGTATTTGATTTCTTCTGGCCATGCTCTTTCTAAAATACTCCATCAGGGTGGCCGGAAGAAGAAAGAGCAAGGGCTAATACCTAGTCATAATGTCTATACTGCCCTGTCATCTGTCAATAAGACTCAAGCCATCAGCACTTAGACTGGGGAAATGTTCAGGGCTGGAGGATTGTTTCATGAAGTCATGACTTCTTACGCTTTGCAGTCTTTTCAGAAAGTTAAATAGCAGTTAACATTATATACACTCAGAGATTTCAGACGCTGCTTGGCTTTTGACAACCCTGTGGAACTTGTTCATAGATACGAGTAACTCTGGAGTATTCTAGAAGTCTCTAGAATGGAATTTGATCTTATCCCAAAGCATGAATGGTGTGGGACTAGGAATGGATTTCCAGAGGAAAAAAATTGCAGACTACAGGAACCAGGAATTCAGGTGACCCTGAGGACACAGATAAACCTCCAAGTGTTTCAACGACCCTCTAAAAGGATGCCAATGACCAGCTGCCGGCAAGGAATATAAATCCTTCCATTCCCCACTATCCTGTCAGAGCTAAAGAAGCTTCTTGGATGAGAAGCAAAAGTTTTCAAAAGAAAAAACAAGAAAGTCCAGTTGCCTCCTGAAAAAGCACCTTAGGGACAACCATGACGTGGATGGCTGAGAATCTCTACAGACTCTTAGGCAACTTCTTCCTTTCCAACATTATTTTAGGGATAATAACTGCCTTAAGTCATAAAGCTCGTTCCATAGGGTGAAGACACGCATGCATTTGTCATCCATCCATCCATGTACCTCAGCAGTTAACAGCATATGGCTGATCTGGTCTTGGCTCAGAAGCTAAGCAGAGGCAGGTTTGATTAATAGTGAGATAAGAAATCCAAAAGGGATTGTGTGTATATGTGTGCAGGTATCTGTGTTTGATTATTTATATATGTTACATATGTGTGTTATATTAACATTGTCTAATCATTTTTTATTTCACCTTGATTTTTTGCAGGTCATTCTTATGCAATAGGCTAAAAGTAATTTCAATGTGCAGGATGAAAAAATGGCACAGACACTGCTGGTACCACCAGGACCTGACAGTTTCCGCTTTTTTACTAGAGAATCTCTTGCAGCTATTGAAAAACGGTGCGCAGAAGAGAAAGCGAAAAGGCCCAAACAAGAACATACGGATAATGATGACGAAAATGGGCCAAAACCAAATAGTGACTTGGAAGCAGGAAAAACACTTCCCTTTATATATGGCGATATTCCTCCTGGAATGGTGTCGGAACCATTGGAGGACCTGGACCCTTACTATAGCAATAAAAAAGTGAGTTTTAATTAAGATTGGCTGGATTTTTAATAATATTTGCTGGATTTTTCAAAGGTTTTGTGAACGCTTGATGTTCTTAGTGTGTATTCATTTAAGCTTATCTTTCTCAGTTCGCACTCAGAAAAAATGTGAAAAACATTTTGCAGCATGGCTTTATGGGTACAGTTCATGGGTTTCCTGTTTTATATCTATGCAAAACTGGCCCTAGGGCTGGAAAAAAGAAAAGAGAGATCTTGATTAAAAATCACTACAAAAATGAGTTAAATAAATATAAACAACAACTATAAAAATTTATAGCAAAGTACAATTATCTAAGTAGAAGTTAATGGTTGGGGGGGGATGAAAGAAAGTAGTACACTATAGAACACTTTTTATATGCAGGTAGTCCTCGACTTACAACAGTTCATTTAGTGACAGTTTGAAGTTTTGTTTTTTTTTAAAAAAATTGATTTATATGCCGCCCTTCTCCGGAGACTCAGGGCGGCTTACAATGATTTAAGCAATAGCCTTCATACTTTTGTATATTTATACAAAGTCAGCTTATTGCCCCCATAATCTGGGTTCTCATTTTACCTACCTTAGAAAGGATGGAAGGCTGAGTCAACCTTGAGCCTGGTGAAATTTGAACTTGCAGTAATTGCAGGCAGCAGATGTAAGTGGATGTCAATTAGTCTGCTGAGCCACCAGCACTGAAAAAAGTGACTTATGACCATTTTTCACACTTATGACCATTGCAGCATCCCCATGGTCATGTGATTTACATTCGGATGCTTGTCATCTGACTCACATTTATGACAGTTGCAATGTCCCAGGGTCCTGTGATTCTTTTGCGACCTTCTGATAAGCAAAGTCAATGAGGAAACCAGATTCCACTTAACAACCATGTTACTAATTTAACAACTGCAGTGATTCACTTAACAAATTTGGCAAGAAAAGTTGTAAGATGGGGCAAAACTCACTTAACAAATTTCTCACTTAGCAACATAAATTTTGGGTTCAATTGTGGTCGTAATTTGAGGACTACCTGTAATACATATATATTTAATTACACTATATCATCTTGCTTATCTGTTCTTAATCTCTTACTTTTTCACAGTACCTTTTGCAATAATAAAATATTTTCTTTTTTAAAAACAAAAGGAGATAGCAATAACCATAGGATCAGCTAAGAATACAGACTCTCAGTATAATAAAACTCATCAATTTTATTATACTGAGTGGGTTTGCTCTCTGTTTAAATACAAGCAGCTTGCCCTAAACTAGATCTATTTTGTTCGTAATAGCTAAACTCATTTCTATATCTTAACTGATGGTAGTGTGGGGGTTGTGGAACAATGTGACGAGAAGGTTCTATGATTAAGTTGCTGCAACAGCAAGTCAGGAGTAAGCAAGTTATTTTGAAGGACGGAACTAGTCAGAATAAGTGCAGTCTCAATAAGTTCCTGCAGCAAGTGAAGGTTGCCCATCACAAGTTCACAAGTTCATCAGAGTTGCTGTTCTTCCAGTTAGGGGAGGAGCAGTCCATGGTAGGCATGAAATGCACCATAATACAGTAGACATTTAGCTGTTTGGTCCAAGATGGGGTGCCCTTTAAAGTTAATACTAAGAAATATTATTACCCATGGTTCCTGGCAGATATTCCTTAGCTGAGAGAGTACGTTACTTCTCAGCTGTAGAGTCTACTGTGCAGAGTTCCCAGTGACTCAGCCTCCACCCACGACGATAGCCATTCTGAGTCAGCCTCTGGAAGTTGGTGGGATATGACATTTGAATGGACATTATTGTATCACCATAGCCTATTTTTCTTACAGAGATACAATTATGTGTCACTTTATAAGTTTGTAGTTGCGAGTTACAAACCACACAGTTTTCCTTGTACGTTGCACCATGTTTCGGGTCAAACTTGTCCAATCTGATGCTCTCCAGATCTGCAACGACCAGAATTTCTAGTTCTGATTTAGTACAGCATCTGTATAATGATGCATTGGGCAAGTCTGTTCCAGTTCATAGATTTTCTTGCTCGTACACAGTAATAAAAAAGAGATTATTTACTGAATACGAGAATATTTACCTATGCTTCTAAATTCATTAAAGTGTGGTATTATTGCGCTGATGAAAAAAGTATGGACTTTATTTGATTCTGATCATTTTTATTTATGTGTTAAAAATTTGTATGTTGTCCTATAAACAATTAATTTGTTTTTCAAAGTAACAAAATGTGACACTCAAATGGACAATAAAGTTAGTAGTGATAGTAATCGTAGGCATTGTGATAACAAGAACAACAAAAACCCAACATCTTTAATTTACCTTATTTGAATCCAGGTACTGAATATAAAGTGCTGCATTTTCTTCAAAGGTCATTACAGTATCAAGATTTAGGAAGTGCACGGTATATGTATTCTTCATAAGAATATTCTAATCGAGCTATTCTTTGTGTGTTTTTTTCCCCACAGACCTTCATTGTGTTGAATAGAGGGAAGGCAATTTTCCGATTCAGTGCCACATCTGCCTTGTACATTTTAACCCCTTTCAATCCTCTCAGAAAAATTGCTATTAAAATTTTGGTACATTCATATCCTTTTCCAGCTGAATACCACAAATGAAAGTTGAATTGTTTTTCCAATATTATTTTCAAAAATAATTACTATCTTTACCCCTACAATCAGAAAGAAATGTCTTTTGATGATAAAGGCATGTTTTGAACAGTAGTTTAGAATAAACTGGGTTAAAGCTCCTGGTAAAATATTTTCTCTTTCATGATATTTAGATTACAAATCTAAATGTTTGGCATTACTTAAATGCTTAATAGTACCGTAGTATTTCCCCCCCATTAATTGTACTAATGCATTCTATGTTTGTTCATGTCATTAAAAAGAAAGAATACTGTTGGAATAATTATGTATCTCTGGAGACATGAAATGTATCATCTGCACCAGGTGGCATAATAACATGGTCACAAAAGGGAAATTGGATTGGGATGAGGAGATGAAGAAGGATGAATGTTTTAAGGGGAATGAGGAAAAAAAATCAGTATTTGGATTCTTCTTGTTAATGGGTATCTATTATTTTGGCTGTGTAAAGAATAATTAGTTATGGGAATATCTTTTATTCAGAAAGTTAAATAAAGTGATGAAGTTGTAATTAGAAAAAATATAACTCAGTGACATTGTGGCCTCAGCAATTTGATGCTAAATTAATATCGTTTAGAATGTAGTAGAGACATTAATGCTTGGTGAATAAAATATTGAGGTATCAGTGCAACAAATATATGGCTGGTTCATATAATCCAATTCTCCAGTACAAGGAAAATACTCAGTTATGGGCAGCAGATTGTGCTGGCATATAGAGACTCCTTGCTATTATTGGCTGTTATGTAGCCTTGCTATGATCTGTGGCAACCTGCTTATGATAGTTCTCTTAATACAAAGCATGATCACTTTAAATGTGCCATGTTTTCATCTATTTTTGCTGTAGCAGTGTCTTTGTGGGATTCACTTTGTTTCAGGGAAAATAAGATTGGCTCTGTCATTAAGTTTATTCGGTGATATGGCAAATAATAAAAGGCCCAATATTCCTTAACTTGGGTTTTACATTATTCAGCATGCTTATTATGTGCACTATTTTGACCAACTGTGTATTTATGACCATGAGTAATCCTCCAGAATGGACAAAGAATGTAGAGTAAGTCAAACTCTTTTAAAACCTATATAAGCTATCTTTGTTTTTATGTATTTTCAATTGCAGATTTTAATGAGCAGTCTCAGCACTGTATTTCCTTCTGCTCCTTTACTCTAAATTGGTTTGTAAATAAAGTTATAGCAATAGCACTTGGACTTTTTAAGGCTAATTTTATATTTATATTTCAATATAATTATATTTTATTATGATTAGATTATAAATAAAGTGATAAATGTGTGACTTTGGAGTTATATCCTTCCCTGAAACTCCAAATGGCAAACTTGGGTTTCCTCAAAAAACATCCATCTAGGTCAGGGGTGTCAAACTCACATTGTCACGGTGGCATCACGTGACATACTGGAACTTTTTTCCCCTTCGCTAAACTAGGCGTGGGCGTGGCCAGTGTATGATATAGTCGGACTGCGGACCAGGAGTTTCACAGCCCTGATCTAGGTACTGAGTAGATCGAGCGTAAACAGTCATAGATAGGATGACTTTCAGACAATTAGAAAACATACTAAGGGTCTACAAAGCAGAACAAGAATCAGGGAATGGATGCCTGATACGACTTCAACACTTTAATTCCAACTATAGTTGCAGTGCATCCCCATATACCCATTTGCTCTTACTTTGGAGTAAAAAAATAATAATACAGCAAATAGATGTACTGTTCCAGGTGCCTATCCAACAGCTTTTTTTAAAAAAAGCTATTTCCATAGGGCTTGGGATTGCAAATTATTTTTAAGAGACCATATAGTGGCTTGCTAATTCCATGAATGGCATCAATCCTAGTTAGATCTTCAGAGTGGCATTTGTTTCCACAAACCCACACCTTTTATGATTAAAGTCACTGATGTCATGGCAGTGAGAACCTCCTTCCCTTATAGCTTGACCGCCTCTGCATTTCTTTTTTCTTGATCTTCCTTTCCTTTGGACATCCTCCCCTTTGTAGTAGTTAACCATTCATTTTTGTTCGGCCCACCTCATTTATACTACTACTTCAGGCCATTCAAATGAGACCTTGATGCTCATCGTGGCCCATCTTTTTAAAAAGCTGAGTAATCATGCTTCTCTTTTTGTGTTTACAATCCCTGCCTATTCAGCAGAATGTATGCATTGCTGCGTATATTCAAAAACAGCTTAAGGAGAGAAGAGGAAAGGAGGTTGTAGAGTCAGAGTGGAAAAAGGAAAAAAAAAACCCAATTAGTAACAATGAATCTTGTAGCAAAGGTCCGCAAAAGGACCCATACTTTCTTTAGAACTTCGACCAACTTGCTACGGTATACCCTTTTTTTAAGGTCCTTTATTTCAGCCCCTTTTTTGTAGTCCCCTGAAAGTGCCACAATCAAACATTCACTATTTTAAAGTTCATTATTTCTTTCCACCCTGAAACAGAAGCAAAAGCAAAACTATACCAAATCCCATGCTTCTGGAAAGTTCCAGGGCTGAAGCAATTGCTTTTCTGCACATGTGAAAGTCAGGTTGGCTCTCTCTGGGTTGATTTTCTTCCCTCTGGGTTTGTAAAGAGAGCTTTTTTTTCAGAGAACCTTCCCTTAATTTGATTCTTGTTGGATCTTGTATCCTGTTTCTATTTTTGCAGTATTGTATTTTTAATTTTTATGTAGGATTGTTTTATATTGTGCTTTTTATATGAGTCGCTGAAAGTTGTTCTAGACTGGGGTGAACATATGTTTCATAAATAAATAAATTTATGCAAACCTGAGGTTCCCCCACTCCCGAGGCACCAGCTCTCGGATGTGGGTGTTGCTCATAAAAATGGACATTCGGAGAATGAGCTATTTATATAGGAGTAACAAGATTTTATGATACATGAAACATGTTTGCTTTTTTGCTTTTTTTTTGCTAGAAACAAGAAGTGAAACTTATAATGTATTTGCACATTCAATTTTCTACTAGAATATATACTGAGAGGCTGATTTATGTATTTATCAACACAACTTTAGTTGTGATCTCAATGGATCATGGACACAGTCATCCAATGTGTCTTAAATTAGTGTTGCTAGGTCAAAATAAAATACAAAAATATATTAATAATGTATGTTACCTTCATCTCATCTCACTAGGGAGTTATACTATTGAACATTTGGGGAAATTATTATTTCTAAAGTTTTATTTGTTGTTAAGTATGAAATCTGTGGGCAAATGAAGGAGAGTATGGAATTCAACATTCTTCAACTTTCACCTGCATGCTTCCAGGTACACATTCACTGGAATTTATACCTTTGAATCACTTACAAAAATCCTTGCAAGGGGCTTTTGTTTAGAAGGATTTACTTTTCTTCGAGATCCCTGGAACTGGCTTGACTTCAGTGTCATTTTGATGGCGTAAGTACTGTACTATACTTATTTTAAAAACTTTATAATGGACTTGAAATTGGTGCAAGAGTGTATCTCATTAGGAGGCATAGATTCCCTGGAATAAACAACATTCTGCCAATAGTGAAGTTTGCATTTCAGTAAAAATGCAAATGCTTACATAATATTGTAATCGTTTCTTTATATTTTAGAAATGCTAATCCCAACTCCTATTTAAATATTTAATAGGATGAGTTAGGACTTCAACACCCATAGCTTCCAGCCAGGATGGCTAAAGGCTAAAGGGCATTAAGTAGGGGAATTTTACTGATGGGCCTAGTACTGCAAAAGGACAAATTATCTAAATGGCCTTCATGAAAAAACACCGAGTAATTAGCCTAAGCTCTGCCTCAACTCTGAATAACTGTGGTTTAATTCTACAGGTATGTAACAGAATTTGTAAACCTAGGCAATGTTTCAGCTCTTCGAACTTTCAGAGTATTGAGAGCTTTGAAAACTATTTCTGTAATTCCAGGTAAGGAGTGGCTTGACGAAGGGCCAGGCCCCTGGTATTTCCAACTGTTTTTTGTGTGTTGTCATTGTGTTTGTGTGTGAACTCCCCTATTACAGATATGTGACAGAGTTTGTGGACCTGGGCAATGTCTCAGCGTTGAGAACATTCAGAGTTCTCCGGGCATTGAAAACAATATCAGTCATTCCAGGTGAGAGCTAGGTTAAAACCAGAGGCTGACTTCTTAGTTTCATGGAAGTCATCCACTTTTTTTGTAGATAAGTCTTGCTGATCGCTGCTAATGTTACTAAAAGGCAGGAATCGGAAGATCTTTGCCTTTTCAAATGTAACATTTATTTTGATTTGCAAAGTCAGCCTTTGAGTTTTAAAAACAATTGCATGTGACACCTACAAAATGCACAGCTTACATGTTTTATTTTGGTTCTGGGTTTGCTTTATGTTGATGCTGCTGCATTTATAGATGATTTTTTTTTCTTGCACAATGGAAAGCTTTAATTAATACTATGGCTCTTGTATGGCCATATTTTTTTAATATATTGTTTCAATGTGTCATCTTAAACACATTTAGAAGACTGCCCAAAAAACATGGTGAGATTTATTCCTGAGAGAACACAAAAGGACAAGATCCCTCTTCACGATCAGATTTGAATTAAGATGTTACAGAAGTTTTCAAAATTAGTGGTTGAAATAAGATTTTGACATATATCGGGTATTCAGTTTCCAGAATTTTTAGCCAGCATGCTGGCCCAGAAATTCCAGGAATTTCTATCCCAATATGTCAAGATGTATGAATGAACTGAAGAAACTTCAAAAAAAGTGTGGGATAATTTTTAAAATAAAAATAAATGATAAATAGAGATGTATACTTGTTGAATATATTATGCTTGATCTTAGCCAAAAGGCCAAGAAGAGACTATTAATTAAAGGCCAAAATAGTCATCTCACCTCTCACCTCTCTGCTTTCACTTTTTTGGAGAATAATTTAAAAAATGGATTGCCTTAAATGAATATGCCATTTTTAAACAAAAAAGGGAAGCAGTACATCTCATTTTGTATACCTTATAGAACCGGGGTCTC